CTTTTTTTTGTGATAGTCCCTTTTTCTCATAAGTTCTTTAATTTGAGGATTAATCCATGGGACAGGGTTATTCCTTATTCGCTTGTGGCGCAGAGGGGCATATCTATTAAGTGCATCTAATAATAGTGATAATAGTGCGTATGAAGTAATAATAGTGCGTAGGAAGCTCTTTTTGATTGGGGGCTGAAAACGAGGCTCGAAGCCCCAACGAAGTTTTTAAATTTAGAGTCTCTGAAATGCCATTTCCTGGACTTTGGGGAAGGTTTTGACAGAATTCTGATGGTCAGAAAACAGCGTTTTAGTGTGTCGAAATTTATAATTTGCTTACAGTTTAGTAGTACTAAATGGGCGAAAGCGTATTTAATAAACTGTATATTGGAGAAGTCACTGGAAAGTATGGGTAATATGATTCTTTGCAGTTTGTCATGGATAATGTGGCCGCTTAAAATTAATCAATTGTCAGTATTTTTTAAAGGTAGATTATTTAAAGGTCTGCATGAATAGTACTAAATGGAAGGTATTTAATTTTTCTTTTAAAATCGGTGTAAAAACTTTTTTCTTCAACAATCGAGTGTTATAGAGTGTGCGATGTTTCAAACGTCTTTAAAACTACCTTGTTTGTGTAGTCCTACTATGCCTGTTCCACATGCATCGCCATGACAGTAGGAGGTTGAAGTGCATGACATATATGATTCGGGCAGTAAAGTACTCCAGATGTAAAAAAACTTCTTTCTTCGAGGCAAGCCCACGCCAATATGGCGGCCAAACTTCGTGCCATTCTGAATCTCATGTACATGTGATTAACGTAATATTTTTATGTTCAGCTATATTACTGTTTGTATTTGGCTAGAATGCACAAGCGTTGAAAATGGAGCAAGAAAGTGACAAAGACCAACAATTAAAAGCCTACCTTAATAACGATCAGATTCAACGGGAGATTGAAAGCTATGAGATAGAAAATGCAAAACAACGAAAAGATCAAGCTCACGAGACAAAGGCCCACCTTCGGTTAGGATATTCGTATCAATTGAACAATCAGTTCCAAACTGCAATTAAATACTATGAGCAAGCCTTGGAAATCGCAAAAGAACGAAAAGATCAAGATCAGGAGACAACGGCATATATTGGGTTAGGAGATGCTTATGAATTGAACAATCAGTTTCAAACGGCAATTAAATACTATGAGCAAGCCTTGGAAATTGCAAAAGAACGAAAAGATCAACATCAGGAAACAACGGCATATCTCGGGTTAGGAGTTGTTTATAGATTGAAGAATCAGTTTCAAAGGGCAATTAGATACTATGAGCAAGCCTTGGAAATTTCAAGAGAACGAAAAGATCAAGATCAGGAAACAATGGCATACCTTGGGTTAGGACTTGTTTATAGATTGATGAATCAGTTTCAAGAAGCGATTAAATACTATGAGCAAGCCTTGGAAATTGCAAAAGAACGAAAAGATCAAGCTCAGGAGACAACGGCGTACCTTGTGTTAGGGGATGCTTATGGGTTGAACAATCAGTTTCAAACGGCAATTAAATACTACGAGCAAGCTTTGGAAATCGCAAAAGAACGAAAAGATCAAGATCATAAGACAACGGCATATCTTGGGTGAGGAGATGCTTATCGATTGAACAATCAGTTTCAAACGGCGATTAAACACTATGAGCAAGCCTTGGAAATTGCAAAAGAACGAAAAGATCAAGATCAGGAGACAAAGGCATACCTTGGATTAGGAGAGGCTTATAGACTAAATAATCAGTTTCAAACGGCAATTAAATACTTTGAGCAAGCCTTGGAAATTGCAAAAGAACAAAAAGATCAAGATCAAGAGACAACGGCATACCTTAAATTAGGACTTGTTTATAGATCGAACAATCAGTTTCAAACGGCAATTAAACACTATGAGCAAGCCTTGGAAATTGCAAAAGAACGAAAAGATCAAGATCAAGAGACAAAGGCATACCTTGGGTTAGGAGAGGCTTATAGACTAAACAATCAGTTTCAAACGGCAATTAAGTACTTTGAGCAAGCCTTGGAAATTGCAAAAGAACAAAAAGATCAAGATCAGGAGACAACGGCATACCTTAAATTAGGACTTGTTTATAGATCGAACAATCAGTTTCAAACGGCAATTAAATGCTATAAGCAAGCGTTGGAAATTGCAAAGCAACTGGAGAATAAACACAAAGGAAATATTGCGAGGAATGCAATTGAGGAATTGTCAAGAATTGCAGGTATGTTTAAGCATTTGAATGTACTGGTTGGTTAGGCAATGGTTATATTATTACAAAAATAAAATTTTGTGCAAGTTCAAATTTTGTGCAATTTAGCAAAAATGTGTTCGGTTCAAGTGAGAACTTGAGATAGTAACTCTCTACCCTACCCTGGAACAGGTCAGGGGATTCCTGTTTCAGTGCAGCTGTATCCTGCACTCAGGCGGTGCTGGCCAAGCTTGGAAACCTAAAACTGGACTGACATCGGAAAACCACTTAAGGTGGCTCCCTACAATTTTTGAAATATGACAAAATCGTGATTTAGATTTAATTTTTTGTAGAGAGGCCCTTGTTAGAAGACAAAAATTGTACCACATATATTGAGCTATTTTCTAAGAGTTGAAATTTTTTCATAAAAATGACGTCATTATCGTTGCTGAGTTGCTCTCTCGCTCAAACTATTTTACTTTTTTACAATAACAATATGCAAATTAGGTAAAGGCATGAATTAAACATGCGTGAAAGGCATTGGTGCCAAAAAATGAAAGTTTCAGCAGCTATTTAAATGACTTAAAATTGAGCATATTTTCTGATATTTGGACCATTAATAAAACACATAACAAGTTTCTTGCCCATGACCTCAACATTCGTTTTAAACTTTTAAATTTCGCACGCATTTTTTTGCTTATTGTTAGTCTATGTTCTAAGTAAAATAATGCACGAAAAATATTGGGGGTCACCGCGTTTATTTTCCTACTACACAAAGTAATAAGCTATTTTAGGGCCAACTTCGTGCGCGTGTGTTGCCATAGTAACGGACTATGTGTTACCGAAAGTCCGAAACTGACATAATTTGAAAGAAGAAGTATTAAAAAAGATCGTACTGTTACGTGCTTCATAAAACGTAAAAATACGACATTTAAAACAGTCAAACTGTTGTACACCTGGCGTTTTTGAAAATTGTATCGAGCCACCTTAACAAGCCTTTTCACTGCAAAGTGAGTGCGTTTTTATTCTGTCCAAAAAATAGACCGGTTCATACATATATATAGTTCTATATACAAATTAATTTCACATGCATTATACAGGGTGCATCGGAAAAAGTAGACGGCAATTTTGAAACGGCTCTCAATTTCACAAATCCGTCGATGTTATGAAATTTTTGATAAATATAAAATGTTTGTATAGGAGTGAGGAAACGAGTGGGTAAACGAGTGAATTTTTCAAAGACGATCAAAATTACACGAGTCCGAAGGTCGAGTGCAATTCGAAGTTTTTGAAAACTCACGAGTGTATGTTTTCCCCAAATTGTACTCGAAACCATACTAAATTCCACGAGAAACCGTACTATTACTTATGCAGACATGAAAAACACTATGCAGGTCACATGCGAAATAAATCATTTTAATATAAACAATTTTATTAGAAAATTTTGTCACTCGTAATGTTTGGGTTTTTAAAATCATTTTCACTTTTTGCACTGTATTTCATTTTTTGCACTGTATTTCATTTTTTGCACTGTATTTCATTTTTTGCACTGTATTTCATTTTTTGCACTGTATTTCACTTTTTGGCACTGTATTTCACTTTTTGGCACTGTATTTCACTTTTTGGCACTGTATTTCCAAAAATTGCACTGCTCTTAGCCAATCAGAATTGAGAAATTTTTTCATGTTTATTATTATGATACTTATAATTTTCGTAAACTATCGGATAAGTTTTCCACAGCAGGGGGTGTCTTATTTTTGCAACATGCTAAATTTACCTTAGTCTCATATTGTTATTTTACTTATTTTACAATAATAATATGCAAATTAGGTAAATGCATGAATTAAAAAAAGCATTGGATGGCAAAAAATGAAAGTTTCAGCAGCTATTTAAAGGACTTAAAATTGAGTAAATTTTCTGATATTTCCACCATTAATAAAACGCAAAAGGCGTTTTAAACTTGTACATTTCGCACGCAAGCTATTTTTAATGCTGCTAAAAAAGACACACCACCCCATATCTGGAAAATTTATATTTACGATATTTGCTTGCTTATTCTACATTATAACTACCCAAACAATCTATATTTATAAACAATTTCATGACATGAATGGATATCCATGAGGGACACGCCTCTACGTCAGACAATAGATGCGATTCATTTACACGATATTTTTTATCTAGTTTAAATATCTTTTGAATATTTTTCTCAGGTGCCATTGAAGACAAAAAGTCAGAAAACCTTGTCATATTTCAACAGAAAGAGCCAGTTATTACAGGTAACACCTCTAATAAATTAAAATAAAAGGAAAAGCCGTCATTATATCAAAATAAAATCGTCTATGAAATATTGATTTAAAAAGTAGTAAATAAAACATTTAAGTTTTAATTAATTAAATAACATCTAATTCTCTGGCTATAGATTTGATTGGCTGCTGGCCTACAAACAATTATTGAAATTATGACCTCAGACATGCAATTAATAATCATTCATAGATATGATGTCAGCTCTAGAGAGATATAGCCGCGACGGTAGCCTGCGCGCAGACTATATAATGACATATATAGTCTGCGAATCCGTGGCATGACGCTTGTATGGTCACGTGAATTTCCCAAGAAAAGTTGTGACGAATTGTGATTGGTTGAACTACAATTATGCAGAATTAATGTTATTCATCAGACATTGCGTTCGCAACGCGCGTTGAGCTGTTCAAAATTGACCGTTTCCAGGGTCAAATGACAATGTTTATATTACAGTTGTATTTATAGAAGTGTGGCGGATAAACAAGAAAGGCCGTTGTAGAAGAAATCTATAATAT